TTTAGATTTTTATAATATTTTACTTTAAATACTCATAGAAATCTCTTGAAATGTAGAAAAAAAATACCTGAAATTTGACGAAATGTTGTTCAAAAAAAGAAACGTTTTTACTGTTCTGCTTTGTCAATAAATTATATTAGACTTTTTTCTCAAACGTCTATGATGTTGTGGCAGATGAAGAATATTTTTTAGTATAGAAGTAAAAAAAAATTCCATTAGACATATGAATACTATCTCTCTTACTCTCGTTGTTAACTAAACGTCATAGACAAAAAAACACAATTAGTAATATTTTTTGTTCTAAAAAATATTTATTTAATTCTTTTATTTTAGTCACTAACAACAATTTCTTTTTAATGCTTTTGCTAACTGAATTTTTCAACGATTTGAGTTTAATAATTACATTCTTCTAATATGATGACGTTTTACCTAGAAATAATAGAAACTACTAACTGTCTATATGGATTATAGTAAATAAAAACCTAAAATTTGTTTGTTTTCACTTCGTATAACTATCATAAAGTAATTTATTAACAAATATTTAAAGCATTCAAGTTTTTTCAGATGACAATTTTATATTTTATATACTAGTAATGAAATTCCTTGTTTTTATATAAAGAATCAATGAATATTACAGTTAATAAAAATAATAATATAGCAACACATTTGTTTATATACTCCTTTAGCTTCAGTTAACTTTAATGTTAAAAACTACATACAACGATTAGTCTTATGTTAACAAACAAATAGTATCGAATAAATATAATATAATGTCTTTCTCTATTTTTATTTACAAGAAAACAAAAAAAATGTAATTTTTCATGTTAAAAATAACCGTTACACGAGCATTGTTCATTTTTATAGAAGTGATGGATACGATGTGCATCACGAACAATTATTTCACATTGGTACAGTGCAGCAATTAATTTTGTTCCTCGATCTTTGAAAAAAGGAAAAAAAAGACAGAAAAAGAAGGTGGATGTAGATGTAAGTATAGATATAAAAAGAGTATAGCACTCATAACAACACTCACATCCCACACTCTTATACATTATTCGAGAGAAAGATATCCTAATCCACTCTCTTTTAATTAATGAAAACTTTACTATTGTTATCTGCTACAGTTTTCGAGAAATTCGCCTGACATTCAACCCTATACTTAATGTTAGTGCCAGCGATAGTTTGATGTCGAAATATTTTTGATTATAATATTTATTATGAAAGTTTTTCACACAAAAAATTAGTCTCTAATAATGAAGACAGTATTTTATTTTAGTAATGCTGTATTGAATAAAAGATAAAATGAAAAATAGTAATATATGTAAGTCATAGAGTTTAGAGTTTTAAAAATTTTTGGATCCGTTGATTTGAAGCATCGGCAATATACATATTCATTAATGAATCAAATGCGATGCCTCTTGGATTGTTGAGTTGTTGCGCACTGGCACCAGCTGTACCAGTACCAGCAATGGTGCTGGCAGTTCGATTATTATTACAAAATAATTGTACTCTATGATTTGATTGGTCAACAACAAACATATTCAAATAAGTATCAATTTTGATACCAATTGGATTATTTAAAAGTGTAGCATTTGATCCTGAAACACCGGACGTACCAGCTAAGAAAATGCCGGATGTATCGCCTGGTGCCCATTTCATTACTGTATGCCCATTAAAGTTTGTTATATATAAGTAACTGCTTACAGATGGAAGATAATGCATTCCCCATGGATAGTACAGCTGTGTATTTCCATTCCCAGCCCCATTTCCTCCGGCAACAATGGTTCCATTAGTACCACTTGTTGAATTCGATCGAAAACGCATAATTCTGTTATCGTCACTGTCTGCAATATACATATACGTTTCTGTTGCATCGAAACAAATATAGCGAGTGCCAGCAATCACATTCAGTGCTGTACCTGCCGTTGCGAGTATGCCAGCCATAGTTATTCCACGCGTCGATCCATTAATATATTTCTGTACTCTGTTATTATAATAATCGCTCACATACAAGTTTTGTTGTGAATCAAGATAAGCACTTTGAGGAGAACTCAACTGACTGGAATTAGAGCCCGTTGAAAGCACTTGTCCAGCTACAAGAATGGGAATGACAGCATTTTTCGGCAGTTTCCATATAACAGAATTCGGACCCTCGTCCACGATGTATAATGTATTACTTGAATCGAAGAATAGATTACTAGCAGCTGATATTTGTGTTGAATTTAATATAGTTATGCCTGTTGTATTCCAGACATAACCACCCGATGTACCTAAAAACAAACAACAATATTTTAGTAGACATTCCATAAATAGATTCTCTCCCATCATGTCTATTCATCTCAATATAAATTCTGCATATATTTATATTAGAAAGCTTCTTAATCTGCAGAAACTTTACAGATATTGAATTCTAACTACAAGAATGTATGGTATTATAGTATTCTGACTTTCGAACCAACGTCAATGGATCAATCTGAACAATTTAGTTTACAGAACCTTTGTGCTGGATTATGAATTAGAAAGCGTCGTAACCGATAGTTCTGATTAATGATTAATCAAGGTTGTCTAAAATGACTTCTTACTTACATGGATTTACTAATGTTGTAGTTGATGTAGTTGAGGTTGTTGATGTTGTTGTCGTGGTAGTTGGTGTACTTGAGGTTGTTGTTGTTGTTGTTGTTGTTGTTGTTGTTGTGATAGTGGTTGTTTTAGTAGCAGTAGTAGTAGTTGTTGTTGTTGTTGTTGTTGTGGTAGTTGTTGTTGTAGTTGATGTAGTTGAGGTTGTTGTTGTTGTGGTGGTTGTTGTTGTGGTTGTGGTGGTGGTGGTTGTTGTTTCAGTAGTAGTAGTAGTAGTAGTAGTAGTAGTAGTAATAGTAGTTGTTGTTGTTGTTGTTGTTGTGGTAGTGGTTGTTTCAGTAGTAGTAGTAGTAGTTGTTTCAGTAGAAGTAGTAGTAGTTGTTGTTGTTGTTGTGGTGGTGGTGGTGGTTGTTTCAGTAGTAGTGGTTGTTGTAGTTAAATTAGTTGTTGAGGTAGTATCAGTACTCGTAGTAGTGGTTGCCGTACTATCAGTATTTAAAGTTGCTGTTGAAGTATCACCGATGCCTGAAGTTATTATTGAATTGCTGCTACTAGTTATAGTATTACTAGTAGTTAATATAGTTGTTATATCATTAATAGTATCCGAGGTTATTGTTGTGGTAATAGTTGACATAGTTGTTGAAATAGTAGTGGTTATAGTAGTAGTCGAAATACTAGTGGCTGAAGTACTTGTTAAACCCATAATATCTGAATTACTAGTAGTGCTAGTCTGTGTAATATCAGAAGAAATGGAGATAGTACTGTTGGTATGCGTCGTAGGTGGTAGAATAGTCGCGCTAGTAAGATTTCCATATGCATCATCTATGGTGAGATTGACTAAAAATTGCAAAGAAAATCAAATGAATTTATTTTTACAATAAATACAATTTTTTTTTGATTCTTCAGTTATTTGATTAGATGGATATAATTCCGTGTAATAATATAGCTGTTTGTTTTTAAAGATGATCTTATTTCGTTCACTCATTTAAGGTTTTGCTAACTAACGAATTCTCATCTGATATTACTATGAGTAATTATAGTATTAATAATAGTGAAAAAAAAAATAAAATATTTAAATTCTGTGTGGAATGAGTTGTTAATCTTAATATAAAGCATAGTTAAATAAAAAAATGTGTATCTGTAATAATAAAAGAAGATAAAAATATCTTGAGAATTATCAAATAAAAGGGACAAGAATTGAGAAACTTTATGTAGAAATTGTTTAGAAGAATAAATTTTTGTATTAAAAAGAAATTGATTTAATTAACAAATATTTCTTAACA